AACAAATATAGAAAGCAACAGCTTTGGAATTAACATACAAAACCACGTGTAACAGAGCCAACTGACAATGAATACTAGGACATACCTTCGAAATATGCACCCCCAGACTTCTGTGGATTCCAGAACACTGCATGCATATGAAGATGCCCAAATTTACACTTGCCCATCTTGGACCTCTGTGTGTTGGCAATAATATATTTAGTGATACAGATAAACAGAAATGCCATCCACCAAAATAAACTAAACAATTTACACATTTACGCCTTATGTTTCCAGGGACCTACTTCGTTTTGCAGTCAGCACATTCCCTATTGTCAGGCAACTTAAGAAGCCCTTCCAAAACCTGTGCATATGAAAAAATAAAAATTTGATAAAGGCTAGTGTCTAGTGAGAAAGTAAATTCAATTATCAAAAGATACTTAATTAAAAAAAAATTATTCAATAATTACACATTAAATTACTAAATAACTAAAGCATTCTGATTCAAGCACCAGAGAATAGGCCTACTTTACTAAGAAGTCTGTCATCATAAGTATGGAAAGTTGGACCTAATGCAAAGATCAATCTAAGGCCCAATTTCCAATTTCAACATCCTCGTTTGGATACTGAAGAAGCCTTTGACTGTAAAACTCCAAGATGCCTTTTTTATCCAGCTTATCATTTTACCAAGGACACTAGTATCAACAGAAGGAGGGATTAGCTATCTTCTACAAAAACCTGTAGAGCTTAATCTAGCTCGGAAATGGTTATATAACTATTTCTCTAGGATCTAAGGACATGGGAATTATGCATCTGCAAGTGCAACTTCTCACGTGAAGGCCCTTAACCAAAGTCACTTTGCTTGTGAATTTCTCCCAATGGAAGGTAAGTAGAAGAGCACTAACACAAACAGGGAATACCTGGACTGATGAACAGCCTTCACCATCACCCCAATCAATTGCATACCATTACAGTTGGAAGGCCAACATTAGAACCACCTACCCTGCAGACCACCAAATCCAACAACAACACCATCATTTGAAAGTCAGTAACTCAGCTCTAGTCACCTTTCCCTCAACACATGCATGGGTCTGCCAAATCTATGAAATTCCATTACAATCCAGATGTGAGGTACCACTATACCAGGCCTCAGGCCTCTAAGCCATGTCATGTCAAACCAAGATATCATGTCACAATCCTCAAATATAGACAGAAGGAATACATCTTTAAGAAGGAATAGCCAGAATGTGGCAACAATTGTTGTTACAAAATGGAACCTTAACAGTAAAGGGCATGGATGGGAATAAAAAATTGGTAAAGTATAGTAAAATGATGCTTTTGGATTATGATGATATCCTTTGGGATAGGATGAATCCTGGAGCCACTGGGTCAAAACAAAATCAATATTTTGGATGCAACTAGAATAATACTATCAAAGTCACATTGCGTAGAGAAAAAAACCTGTATCATAATTAGTGGCCAGCTAGCTAGCATAGTGTGAGCTACTAACCCCAAAGATTACAATTTCAAAAGTATTATAAACATAGGTTTCAAGTATGATTTGTAATATGTACAATTCTAAGCCTAAAATGGCAAATAACAAGAAATTTTAGTATCAATTTCGCTCACTACTAAGGCTATGTTCTCTTCACCTTATTTAAGGTGTTATGGCATTTGTCTCATAAGATTTAGTCTCGGTTTGATCTGATTTTTTCTGGACTGGTTTGAATTTGTTTTCTTGTCTGAAAATGAAATTTTCTTGTCTGGTATGACCGTATGATATGGTCAACAAGAATAAGGTGAAGAAAACAAAGCCTAAACTCTTATCATAAAAACAAAGAAACACCATACATCACTATGTAAAAGCTTAGACTCCAATATGTTAAAAAGTATGGTACCCTATGAAGTTACCAAAGGTCAATATACAACTTAACTGGTATTCTTCCACTGCAATATGTGCATAACCTAAGACGCTGAGCTGATTATTACACTTTAAAATTAGATCACTCTGTATTAAAGCACTAAACACAGATGATGAATTGGATCCATGAATGTAAACATCCCCAACGATAGAGTTACAGAATTGGAGAGCATTTTATCTTATCTAAATTTGTAAGTAAAGAGGGAGACAAGTTTGAATTAAAAAGGTGTGTCCATCTTCATCTACATAGCATAAACTGACCCTAAGGAGTCAGTTGACGTGTAGTGAACAGTGACTAAATTTTCTTCTGGAATACACTGACTAAATTTTCTGCTATATAACTTTAAGAGTCACCTAGAATATGGTAACTAAATAAAACACAATACATAATGATCATTTTCACCTACTTTGTTGCAAAGTAGGAACCTAGTTTTTGCTCTTTCAATCAACTATATAATACCCTTCTGTAATATAATTACATAAAATAACACGATAAATCCTTGATCGCGGTATTACAAACCTACACCTACATACATATACCACCCCCAACCTCACCATAAGATGTACCCTTGCAAGCAGTTTTAGGTAGATAGTAAAAGAATTGCTACCTTGTCAGACAAGAATTACATAGACAGACCATGGAAGTTCAACGGTTTATTAACTCGTCACTTATTTCCACACCGAAACAATGAACGTAAGTCGTGCCTTCCATGACTAGCCCTAATAAACAGCTACCCACACTCAAAAGGCAGAATGGAACACAACTAAATGCTTAAACAACACCAATCCACTCAAGATGCAAACTTTACAAGCTCAATGATCATATCAATTCAATTCGTGATATTTCCGAAAAGTTTGGTTAAATTGCATAAACCTAGATCCAATTATCCAAATCATCAAAATGGGGACCAGGAAATTATGCAGGAATCATCCCATAATTTACCAACCAAATAAATAACAGAATACAGGATCCCACAAACCCAAATATCAGAAAATTCCCCATAAAACCCAACAAATTCCAACCAAAATCATCTAATAATCATAATTAAAACTTTTCAACCATTTCCCCAAATTCCCATTTGTACAAAATCAAGATCAAACCAAAAAACCCAAATCAAAATAAAACATGGGTAATCAAGAAATCAAACTTAGGGATCGAATTTAAAATGAAAAAAAAGCAAACAAATCGAGAGGAGAGAGGGAAAGGGACCTTGCGATGTCTGGCGTTGAGCTCCTTGGTGACGTGGGCTTTCTCGTTCATTTTTGATGAATTATTGAATATGATGATGATGATAAAATTGAGAAGAAGAAGAAGAAGAAACAGATGATTGGGTAATTGAATTGGGAAAAATCTCTCTCCTCCTGTTCTTCTGTCTTCCTCTCAATCTGGGTTAAGCAAAGCCTGGCAATTAGAGAGATTGTGGTCTGACTTGGTTCATCAAATCAACAAACCTTCTCACTAAAGAAATTCATATATTTATGGAAATTAATATTGATTTTTTAATTTTTGATTTATGAATCATATGGTTGATGACTTATAGTGGTGTCTTGTCCTTTGGGGTATTGGTTTTAATCTACAACTGGCTTTTGGCCCGGACGATGTCTCTTGTTAGTTGTTACAATGTTAATTGAGTTGGAAATATAGTAGTTTCACATAATAATATCACTTTTTTTGTTAGAAAGGTTAAAAAAGATATTTCATACTTCCTCTGTTCTTTTTTACTTGACTTGTTTCTTTTATCACATTTGTTAATGTAAAACTTTAACGATCAATTACTAAAATTCTCCATAAGTAAAAATTATAAAAGTTATATATTATGATAGTATTTATTGAGATGAATCCAAAAAAATCATACATGAATATATTTTTCCTTACATATTATTCACCAAAGACGGTCAAAGGAGGTGTGGTGAATAATGTAAAAGTCAAAGCGGGTCAAATAATAAAGAACGGAGGAAGTATATGGTTATTATAGAAAAACACATGTAGTAGACGTAAGGGAAAATAATGGCAAAATATTACTTGTAGTATAAAGTAATTATTGCTAAATAATAATTAATAAGTAATAAGACGTTAATGTTTTGAATAAGAGGTTGTATGGACTTGTCATGTCATTACTTATATAACGTCAAGTCGTGATGGAGCAAGGATGTTATGAGGCATTAACATGCTAAAGATGCTATACTTTTGAGTTTTAATAATATTTTAGATCGTCTGGGAAGTGTGAATATTGTTGAAATGCCGATCATTTTTTTTACGACTTATAGTGGTGTCTTGTCCTTTGGGGGTCTTGCTTTAATCTATAAATGGCTTTTGGCTTGAATGATGTTTCTAGCTGTTACAATATTAATTGAATTGGAAATATAGTAGTTTTATATTATAACAGCAAATTCAAGCAATCACATAAATCAAGGTTCAAAGAAAAATTTCGTATATGGTTACCATAGAAAAATATCGAGTATTACATATAACGGAAAATAATTATAAAAAAAAAAATTTAAAACCACAAAATATTAGTACTTTCTATAAGGTAATTATTACTAGAGAGATCGAATAACCACAATAATAAATAGTACAGAGTAGTAAGCTATTAATATTTTGAACAAGAGGTTTTATAGACTTGACATATCATTACTTATAAATTATAATGTCAAGTCATGGTGGGGGAAAGATGATACATGGCATTCACAAGTTGTATCTTTAAGTTTTAAATTTTTAATAATATTTTGGAAAAATTGACAAGAATAATTTTAATTTTGTGTGAATCGTCCCAAATAATCTTAATTTTGGATTATTTTTTAATAATCCCAACTTTGATATGAATTTGCTTAAAATAGTCCCAACAAATGACTTAACTTGTTGTTTCAAAAATAAAAAGAAAATTTACTTAACTTGTTATAACAAGTTAGATGACATGCGGTGACACCTGGTTGGTGAAAAAATAACCTTTTATAAGTTTTTTTTTTTAAATTTTTTTTTGAAGGAAAAAAATAACTTTTATATAATAGAAGTTATTTTTCTATTATAAAAGTTATAAAAGTTATTTTATAATAGAATACCTTCACCTTTTTGTTTTTCCTTTTCATCCAAAAATGTAAATTATTATTCTACTTCCTTTTAATTGCATTGTTTTTTTTTAAAAAAAAAAAAAATTACACTACAAAAGCAGTTCATTTAAATTACATCACATCATAATACTAGTTCATTAAAATAACATTAGTTCTATTCAAAAAAAAAAAAAAAAAAATAACATTGGATGTTCTATAACATTAGCTCCCCAAAATAAACACTGTTATGTTCAATTTAAAATTACATTAATTATCCTTCATGATATTGGAAGTCATCTAACAACGGGTGGTTGTAGATTTTTTCCATGGTTGCATCTTGTTTTTGGAACATGTCATCAAATTAAGACGATTCAAACGAACATATAAAACTCTTCTCGCACACCACTTGAGGGTCCTTTCCCAAGGTCCAAGTTATTCTTCATCCTACTTCCTCCTATAATTTCATGTTGTTGTGGGCTAGGAGTCGGAGTTCCATGAATCCTTAAGTTCCAAGGTTCATTCGGGTCAAATGAATCCCTAACCTTTTGTTTTCCCTTAGCTGGCTTTTCAGCTTCTCTCTTCAAATATTCTCTATCAACTTCATCCAATGCATTCAAGAAAGACTCGGTCCCAAACATTTCTTCATTTGAGGGTTCCTTTAATTTCTTTTGAATGAATTCTTCCACTGCTTTGAAAAGACGATTGTTTGGGAAGAGTTCTTTAGCATGGTTCAGTTTTTCAGCCATCTTAGACAAATACCCACCTAAAGTCTTAGCCAGATCAATAAATTCCTCCATGAAATGCTCCTAAAAAATGAACATAAGATATAGATAATGTGAACATTCCGTATTCTTTTACGAACATTCAGTATTCTATAATCATGTGGTGAGATATTAAATGAACATATATAATAAATAAATCAACATGAGGTGTGTTTATATGAATATAATATGTTAAAGATAAGAACATAGAAACTATTATTATATGACATTATGAGATGTTTTTATATGAATATAATATGTCAAAGATATGAACATATAAACTATATACGAAGTATACTAAATGAACATGAGATGTTTTTATGAATATAATATGTTAATGACATGAGCATGTCAAAAAAATTCAGTATATAAATCAAGTTAATAAATTATGAACACAAGAAGAAAAATTATGAATATATGATACTAATATACCTTATCAGTTTTCTGTGGCACATTTTCTTGATGTTCATCAGGTCTTTGGAGGATCCTTGGCAACACAGTTCCTAATCCATAACCTTTGTTCTCTAATTTCATTCTTTCATAAACCATATCCTTGTTCCAAACACAAATGAGAGGTGGAGTTCTTGGTGGTGAAATATTTTTTCTTTGCACCCGATCAAAGTAAAACAACTGAACATACATAAGAATAATTCTTATAAGGATATGAACAATCAATAAAAAAATATGAAAAACTTAAATGATCATATAAACATGATTACATGAGTAATAAAGTTATGAACAAACTATATATATAAATGAACAACAACCATACTATTTTGAACAAAAGTAAAAAAAATTATAAACAAATTATATATAAATGAATAAGAACCATAAAACAACAATAATAAATTTATGAACAAATAGGCATACCATTATGAGAGGCAGTGGACCCTTATAAAACCCTTTTGTGTTGTTTTTCCAATCAGAGCTTGTATCTATCAAGCTATCAAGTACGTACTTGCACCAATTGAATTCCTTAATTTCATAACAATCGCGAAATGAATGTAGGAACTTGTAATGACAATGGATGCTTTGGCTGCATTTCATTAAACAGTTCACAGCTAGCACAATGAAATCAATGACAAATATTTCATTTGCTTCACCCATGTTCTTTTCAATAGGCACAATTTTTGTAGCCGTCTTCTTCCCAATTTTTTTCTCCTTTTCTTCTTCCTCTTCCTCAGGTTCATACTTCCCCAAAATCAGGTGTGTTTTGGGGCTTCCAGAAGTAATACAATAAGCTTTTCGCCATCTTGTTAAAAGACTTTCTTCCTCTTCTTCATCATTAGATTCAGCTACTTCTTCAACTTCTTTTACAATCTTGTCCCCTCTTGGGATTCCATATACTACTTCTACATCCTCTTCACAAATCTCAATTGATTTGTTGTAAGGTAGATACAATGTGCAACTGTTTTCTTCAAAGCTCTTCACAAGCCATGCACAAAATTTTTGGTCATTTTGAGGGAGGTTAAGATTAAGTATATATCCAAATCCCATTTGAACAACAAGTTCTTTTTGAGGCGGGCTCAAATGTTTCACAAACCTCATGAATTTCAAATGCCCAACTCTAACTCCTAACCTATCTTCATCATCCAAAACAACATCCTCATCATCATCAAGATTCATCACTTCTTCATAATTGTAATCTGTTTTCGTTTCTCTCTTTCTTTTATTTTCAATTTTCTTCTTTTTCTCAACCTTTTCCTTATTCAACACCTTAACCTTCTTTGGATTTCCTACTGATTTCTTTGAACTTTCTCCTTCAATTCTTTCTCTACTCTTCTCCTTCTTTGGATTTCTTACTGATTTCTTATTTGTAGCAACATGTTTTCTTCTCAATTGACGTGTGTATCAAAAAATTAACAAAGTCATTTAAACATTGAATATAAAGTAATTGTAAATGTACATGTAGCTGCAACATATGTGTTTAATTAAAAAGTAAAAATGAACAAAACATAGAAATGAACATTAAATGTCTTACTTGGCAGCAGCAATTGCAAAAGATTCTTGTTCAGAAGCAATGGCAAGTTGTTCAAGTGTATTTATTTTTCTGGGTTTAGCTCTGTGAAAATAATATGAACATGAGAAGAAAAATAATGAACAAAGTTTAGATTAATACGAACACGTTCAAATAATAGTGTACTTACCTTGTAATTTCTAGTGTAGGTTGCCCTGAAGTCTTTTCAGGTTCTTGATTAGTTTGGTTAGCGCCTTGTTCATAAGCACTTGGAATTGGTTCATTTCTATGTCCAAATAAAGAATAGTTAGTTTATAAACTACAAATAAAATGCTTTCATTCTTATTTCATGAAAATGAAAACCAACATTAAAAATATGAACAAAAACAAAAAATATGATTTTTCACAAACATTTATAAAATTGCAGAAGTTTTAAAAAGTGAACAAAAGCAATCAAAATAAGAACATGAAGAGAACAAATATGAATTTAATTAAGCAAATATTAATGAAATTGCATACCCTTCAGGCATTTCTTTTGGTTGTTCAGTACTTTCTTTTGGTTGTTCAGAAATTTCTTTTGGTTGTTCAGCACCTTGTTGAGTAGGTTGCTTAGCACCTTGTTCAGATGTTTCTTGTGGTTGTTCAGAAATTTCAGGAGACTGCTTAGCACCTTGTTCAGAAATTTCTTTTGGATGTTCAGAAATTTCTTGTAGTTGTTCAGCACCTTGCTCAGTAGGTTGCTTAGCACCTTGTTCAGAAGTTTCTTGTGGTTGTTCAGAAATTTCAATTTCAGTAGACTGCTTAGCACCTTGTTCAGAAGTTTCTTGTGGTTGTTCAGATATTTCAGTAGACAGCTTAGCACCTTGTTCTATATGCTGTATTTCAAAATTTTTCTGGGGTTGTTCACAAGGATTTGAAGATGGTTCTTCATCCCTGTTTATAAATTGTAATACATAATAATTATTATAATTTTTATTCCACAATAGTGAATAAAACCATTAATTTATATGAACATTATGTGAAATAAATACAAACATTAAGTGAATTTAACAATGAGCATTGGCAGTTACAATGATTATAAATTTGAACGAAAAGACAAAAAATATGAACAATTGAGAAACAAATTAATTAAAATGGATCTCGCTGCATACTAGAAATATCATAATATGTGAATAATGAATCTTGCATATTGAAATGGATCTCACATATTATCAACATAAAATTGCATTAATAAGAATACTAACAAAATTTTAATTTACAAGAAATGAACCTATGGACAAATAATATGAACATGTATATATAATTACAGAACAAACACACTTCTTTTTAGGACTTCTCTGATTATCATCTTTAACATGTTTTGCTAAATCCTTCAATGTTTTGTGATCTAATTGGAATTTTTACACTTTTCTTGCCTTTGATTTTGAAATTTGAGAAAATGGGTTGTTAAATCAATTTAGGTTATTTCATCAGAAATTCATTTTTCTAATTAACAATATAATAATGAATTATTCCCTTTTACTAATTCTATAGTACTTGTTGTTTGTTGTGATTTTCAATACACACACAAAAAAAAAAAAAAAAAAATGTTGTCTATAAATTTAAAATTTTCTACACAATTAAACCCCATAACAAGTAAATTCTAACAAATGTAAACAATGTTTAAATGTAAATTTACCTCTTTTTTGGAGAATCTGATTGATTTTTGAGTTTTTCTTGAATATCCATAGCAATGTTCAATGTTTTAGTGAGAGAAAATTATAAAGAGGAGAGAGAATGTAAATTGTGTTTAAGTGAATAAGTTGAGAGAAGTTGGGGTTTTAATTATAATCTGACAATTTTTTTTTATTTTTTTATTTTAAAAAAGAAGGAGATATGTTGGTCTGGTCTAGGTCTCGCTTTTTACAATGGCTGATGCGTGTTATGGGCTTGGTGGGTCTGTTGTAGCTAACCAGGATGCAGTCTAGACTTATTGCCAATTTAGCCGATTTAACACAACACGTAACTCGTGGGCTGAACCATGTGAACTCAGCACAAGACATGATCCAATACTACTTTGCCAATTAAATTCTCCTTAATTAAACAGCGGTGATCTAGGAAAGAGAACGAACAAGGAGAAAGAAAAAGTATCATTTGAAAAAGCTGCGATTTTTCTGAAGATAATCTTCTGCATTTGGTCATTGGTGAGCTTGAACTTCTTTATTTATATGCTCAATTTCAAATAACTACAATTATAATGGCAAATTATTACTTTTATTTATGTAAAAAAAAATTTAAAAATGGGAACTTTGGTTTTTCTTATATATGTTTTGTTCGTGGGCTAATCAGATTGTTATCTAGTGTTCAATTACTGATTTGAACTCAATTTTATGAACCCAGTTCGATTATAAAGTGAAAGATAGAAGAAATTTGAGATATTTGTGGTTATTATTGGTTTGAATTTTAGGTATAAGAATTTTGATTTGGGTGAATTGTATTTATGATTAGGTTAGAGTTTATAATTATTTTTCATAAATCATGTAATTGTGAAATTGCTGAGGAGTTTATATTGTGCAATGTGATCTAGAGAGTTCTAAGATTTGTCATTGGGATTGATTTTAAGTAATGTTGTATATGTCTGGAAATAAATTCTCATACAAAGTATGCTATTTTAGATTGTATGTATTCAATTGTTCGAGGTTGGTGTTAGTTTATGATTGGATTTCGTAATGTGCTGCTACATGTTTCAAGTGATGAGGAGAGCATAAGAATGAATCATCTAATATAAAGGGTCTAGTATTGAAATTTTGTCAAAAGTTTCAATTGTGTGCATTTGGGATAGTGTGACAACTAATTACTGATGTAGGAATGAAGTGATGGAGTTATTAAATGGTTTGCCTTTGTGAAAAAAGAGCTTGGTTATGCAAAAGTACGCGTGATTTTGCGAATTTAGTAGGAAATGAAGTTTCTTAAATTTATATGGCTTGGAGAGTCTGAATTTAGGTGTTGATCTTCTCATGAATTTGAAGTTAAATGCATGAGGTATGATAACTGGTTCACAGTTAATGGAAGCTTTGTGGTTTATTAAAACAATTATGCTAAGCTTATGTGTTAAGCAGTAAAGGAGAAGGTGAGCATGAGATGAAGGCTGGTACTCTGGTGGGTTCTTTTGTTTACTAGGTGGAAGTCTGCAGTGTGTATTCCGAAATGTTGTCTCCTGCCTTAGATGGAGTAGATGATATCAGACCTGTCAGGAAGTAGCATAAACTGCTAGTCTGATGTCTTCAAGTGTGGGAACATAATTTAGAAATTTAATCTAGGAAAATTTAAAGGAATATACTTCGTATGTTATAATAGTAGTGATTTTGCTGTAAAATTCTTTTTTTAGTTACCCTAAAACCTCAAGTAGTCCACTTGGCACTTTAATCTTGGAGTAAAACCATGCAAAGCTTTTCATAAGATAGCTGAATGACCTGAACTTAACACTGGAACAAGTATCCATGCATGACTAGATCAGTGAAGTCTAAGAAACATGGCATATTACTATAGCCATCTATATGTATATTCATTTGTATTATATAGTACATAGTATGTTTTCGCTGATCACTTTAGGCCAATCATTTGATGATTGAAAAAGGTTGTGAATAGATGGTTAAGTGACTTTTAAAGTCGCATCTTATGGAAGCTGTGTTGTCAAGGCAGAATTAGTTGATTACATTTTCATATTTATTTTTAAAGTATACAGCATTTTGGGTACAGCACAGTTAAAAAGTACTGGAACCTCTAAACAGAGTAGGTCAATTGGCTGAAAGGCTCTTCTTAAACATTGCATTATGTGATGGTAATTGAGGTGATAACCGAGAAAAGCAGAAGATAAAAGTTAAAATTTTACATTAAATACTTCATTGTTTTACTAAAATAGTTTATGATATGGAAAAATTATAAGATTTTTTTAGTAATCAATATGTAATATTTTTTCTAAGTTCATTCTATGAAATGAGTAAGATTTTAGTTGTGGCATCTTTTGCTGTTTCATTAAGCTACATTTTGTTCATTCTATTTCATATGTCAAATTTGTAGTTAAATATTTTCTGCCATCGCTGAATGATGGAACCGGATTATCAAAATCACTTTAAAGCTCCAGAATCCTCTGCTATGCTCAATAGTAGAGGTGTGACTGCTGACTCCAGAAACCAATGGAAGCAATTGGGGGAAGAGGAGAGAAAGATGGCAGTTCAGGAAGAGATGAAGAGGATGCATCAATTGCCTGCTAATAGTAGCTATGCCATTCACCGTCGCCGTGTTCTCAGTAAAATATTCCAGCTCATGACTATTCAGGTTGGTGTAAGTTTGTTAAAAAATTTTAATCTTTGATATTGATGTTTACTTTTACCTCATACATTATTACATCTATGTCCCATTCTAATAACCCTGTTGAATGTGTGTTTATCATGTTTTAATTGGCGTTTGCTTATCTTTTGAGCTATATTCATTGGCAAACCTGTATATATTTTTTTAGCAAGTTGCCGATCCCATATCATTTTGGGACTAAGGCTTTGTTATTGTTGTACTTTGCTTGCAAGATGTTACTTCCATGTTTAATCTTTATGCTGAGCAGACATGTTTTCCTGTGCAAATTATTATGTTCTTGAGTTTTGTATAAGCTATGGACCTAGTGTCCTTAGAGGGTTGAAATTTAAAGAAATCCCAAAAAGAAGTGTCATCTGATGGAGATTAGAGGCTGAAGGTGTGACTATTTGTAAAAACAAAAATAAAGTAACAAATATTATATACTACGAGGATTAACCTTTAACCTTGCGAGGTGTCAGGGAAGCTTTTTCAGTTGGAACCCTCCACTGCAACCCATTTCTTTAGAGGTTTGTTTTTATGTAACTGTAACCCACCTTTTTTGAAGAGCAATGATGTTGTTTGGCTCTTGGACTGCCTTTCTCTCAATTAGTTTTATGGTGGGCTTGGTCATTTATCTTATGTTGCTATCACATTAGCTACTATTCCTTGTCGCAAACAGAGTTAAAGATAAATAACTAGATTGTGGTTCCTATCAACTACTTTCTTTGTTTCACTAGAATTGCAACTTTTGATTGTGGCACTTATTTTAAAGTAAGTAGAGAGGGAATGCAAAAAGTAAAACGTGAGAAATGTATATAAAAGAAGATAGAAAGGAGGGAAGAGAGAAATAGTGGGCCAAGCAATTATAAAGTAGGCATATATATAAAATTGTAAAAGTTACCAAAAAAGAAAGGGTTGCAATTATTCTAAAGCATTTAAAATAAGCAAGTGCTGCAATTTTAGTGAAATGGAGGTTGTATGTAATTTGGTTGACAATGGTTATTTTCTCTTAGCATTGCTTCTGTCTATCTTTTATGACTGTCATGTGCTAAAAATCTTGTGACGGGTTCATGAAGTTTGGAGGTATGTACTGGAACTCCGCGAAATTTGAAATTTCAGAAATGTTATTTAATTGCAAAGTTTTTGGCAGATGTGAGAGGTTCGCTTTGGCTTAGTCTAATATGGTGGTTGGAAACCTACTCCTAGTTTTTGATACAGACTTGAACTCTAGAATGTGCTGATTATGTCATTATGTTGTATACAATGTACCGGGATGGTTCTTCCTCAGCAATTTTTTTTTATCATGATTGGGAAGCTTTGAGAAAAATGCTTATTTTTAGACAGGTAAGATACTAGTGCAAAAATTTGCAGAAGCACTTGATGATCGTGAAATAAAGGGTGAAATACTTGAAAAAGGGTGCTGGAGGGGGGGGGGGTTGAGTTGTCATGCAGAGTCAATAAGCAGTTGAATGCACTATATTTTTAATGCTTGGCTATTGTTGCTTGATCTGTGAATGAGAATTTCTTTCGGTGTAGTTATCATTTTATTACTAAACATGAAGATAGCATTACAATATAATCTTACCCAGTGGCGGAGCCAGGAATTTCAAACCGGGGGGACAAATAAACATCATCACTTAGTTTAATATTGGAGCAAAAATATGCTTGAATAGTTAAAGTTTTACAGCTCAAAATATAAAATACGGAGTACTTAGTCAAAAAATCAACATCGTATACCACTTTTCTCCATAAACTATTTGTTTAGGGGTTCATAATTTTTGAAGATTTCAAACAATTAATAATATAGTTATTTAAATGTAGTACTGTCATATTTATCTATTAGGCTATAACAATCGTAATTTGGGGTAAAGCTCATGCAAAACTACAATTACAAAGATTCAAATACGTATATGGAGTAATTGTTAAGAAATGCATTGAAGTAATATTATCTTATAAAGATTTAGGTTTCAAAATCTTATAAAGATTTATTAAAAAACAAATAAAATAAATAAATAAATAAAGGGAACTACAGTTACAATTATTCAAATAAGTAAATGGGGTAATGTTAAGAATTAAATTGAAGTAATACTATCTTATAAAAATTTAGGTTTCAAAATCTTATAAAGATTTATATATATAATAATTTTTTTAAAAAAAAAAAAAACAAAAACAAAAAAAAAAAAAAAAAATAAAGGAAAGAAAAAGCGCACAGGAAGAATCGAACCCAGTTCCTAAGACTACAAGTACAAACTCATGCAACTTACTTTAACCATTGCGCTAACTCCTTTTGTCTATTACATTATGCACAAAATATTGTATTTATACTATTTTTTTTTTTGGAAGTGGGGGGACAACTGTCCCCCCTTGTCCCACGCTGGCTCCGCCAGTGATCTTACCTTTAATCTAAGATCATTTGGGATTATGAAGTGGTTATTGTGTGTGTGTATATATATATATATATATATATAACCTTCTTTAGATGGGCTTGTGAAATAAGTTTGATCCCTAACTGATTAATTGTTGATTATTTTTTCTTAGAGATCTGCATCTGAGGATGAGGAATTGGAGTTGCTTTTTGCTGGGCTGTCCATTTAAGCGAAGGTAATGGCTGTGTGAAGTTCTTGTTACTTGTTTAAATGTTGACCCCCCCCC